TCTTGGTTCCATTCCTGTTCTCCACACTTAAGTAATTCCACAATTGTTTGAGGACTTCCACATTATTGCTAGGTGTTTTTTTTTGTTTGTTTGTTTTTTTACTATTTTAAAAACATACTCTGGCCTATCCTTAATCTATTTCTCAACATTCCCTAATATGAAAACTTGCATTACCTATTCCCTTCCTTGCTCTTTTCCCTTTCTTCTTCCATTGAGAAACTGGCTTTAGTGATAGAAATATCTCATGATTGAGGAGCATGTTGAAATGGAAGAGAACTGGTAGATAAGAGCTCATGATGTGCCCCTTCCAATGCTGAGTTTTCATAGTGACCTTCACCTAGGGTCTGCCTCCTGGGAGGAGAAGCTCACAATAGCAAAGACTCAAAAGCAATATTGTTCTCGACTGCCCCACGCAAAGCACGCTTTGTAATTAAATCTTAGGCAACTTGTTTATTCACCTCAGAAATCAATTCTCTATGGGCCTCCCTTTCACTTGCTTAAGTTATTGGTACATCTGAAGTGTCCTCTGGCCACCAATATCTCGTCGAGTTTCAGAGGCTCAGGTGAAGTGCCACTTCCTCTAGAGCACCTGCCCTCATTGCCTGACCTGAGTCAATTGACCTTTTACTCTTATCTACACTACATGACAAAGATGGATCATGTGTATTCATAATCATATTTTGCAATGTGGAATGAAGCTTAAAGTTTCAATTGAAATATATACGAATTAGCCCAGCTGTTTTTATGTATATCTCTCAATATAGTCATCAAATATTTAACAAGTGCCTACTGTGTGCCAAGCGTTACTTTTTAGCAATATCACAGAGAAAATTCCACTATGCATAATGGCAAAATTTAAACAAGCACACAAAAAAATAGCATGTTACAATGTGTTATGGGACATGAGCAAAAAAAGGAAGACAATACAATGAATTTATTTGGTGATGATGGGGAGAGGATAACTATATAAAGTGGTAAGGTAAGAGTTTTTGAAAGAGATGGCATTTATAAGATTCAGAGGCTAGTTATGTAAAGAACCAACCAAAAACCACTTTAGCAGTATGCTGGATTAAAGAGGGTCACAAATTTTAGGCCATTAGCCACTCTTTCTTCTCAAATTTATCTTGGTCTGTGATTTGTTTTGACCAATACAGGGTGGTAGGGGGCCCCATGTGACTTCTGAGGCTGGGCTATAGGAAATCTTCAGCTTCTTCTTCCATGTGCTTGGAACACTGTCTCTTTGAAACTAAGCTTGATAGTGTGAGAAGTTCAAGCCACAAAGTGTGGCCATATGAGAACTGGGGCATTCTGGTTGATAGTCTCAGGTGACCTCAAGTGATGTACAGTATCAACTGCCAGTTGTCTACCTGAGCCATCCTGGAGATGGCAGCCTATCCGAGCTGTCAGTTGACTCCATTGCCAACCAACGTCGCATGAAACAGGAGAACCAGCTATGTAAACCAGTATGCATGAGAGAGGGAATACATGAGTTTTAAGTCACTGAATTGTGGGTTGGCTTAATGCCGTGATAAGAAGTCCTAAGAAACAGGTGGCTGGAACAGCATGCATAAAGAACATACAAAAGGAAACAGCATATCGTGTTCAGAGAAATAAATGAAGCTGCTTAACATAGATTTATAGTTCATTCACATTTACTGGCCTAGGTAAGTAGATGTTATGTAAATGTGCATGAGTAATTGCATGAACCTGGAGAGTTTCTTTCCATTCTTTTACCCATGGAACTATATTCATTCTTCAGTTCTTAACTACAGCCTGTCTTCTTCTATGGAGTATTCTCTCTCTTCTGCTATGCATATATAATTTTCTTTTTCTTATCTACTTTATGTTAATAATCAATGGGATACATTGCTTTGTGTAGGTAGGCTAATTACCCTTTCATTCCAATCAGCTCTCAAGATCCTTGATCCTCAGCCCTGTTTTTCTTTTTTCCCCTCTAATATACTACTGGGCTCATGGGCTCATGTTTTGTCTGTTGCTAACAATTAAGGGGCTCAAATGATTCAACAATGTCATGCTCACATGGAAGAAATGTTCAATGTATTTGGCTGGTAACTGAATCCATTTAGTACTTTTCAAATATTGAGGAGGGAGAATAATGTGTTTGTGGATTCTGGAAATGTGTTCAGTTATCTAGCTTCCAGGGACCATTTAAATTTACCTTATAAACTTTCTAGGTTCTGAGAAACTGCATGAGCACTCTTAATAAGTGAAATAAAGGCAGGTGAGTCAAATAAAAATAATGGCTTCACATCTGACCTTCAGCAAGTAAAGAATTCACAAGTATATAAACTTGCAATGGTTCTACTTCATTAAGTTACTCAGCGACACATTGACTAATGGTGGTTTCGGGAAAGAAAATCATAGCTAACAAGCAGGGAGTTTTTAATAATGGCCTCTGAGGTCTTAGAATTACCACCAAGGAAATCAGTGCACATCTTCCTGCCAAGTAGAAAAAAATAAAAGTGGAACATGAAAGTTCCTTTGACTATCCAAATCAAGATCTTTAGACACACTCAGGATATTCCAGAAGGTATTAGCCTAGTGGGTAGTATCAAGTTATAAAGAAATCATCCTGTGAGATGCTGAATAGAACTAGAAATGTTGGTTTATAATACTTTAAATCCTTTTATAATATTTGTGTATTTTTCCCAAAGCCCATTTTTTCTTTGTTGTAAAAAACAAAAAAGAACAGACATAATTCAAAGACTCTCAGCTTAGAGTAGCTGTAGCCTGCTATGAATACCAGGGTAACCATAGAATAATTAGAAATTATTGAAACCAAAGCTAATAAAAAAAGGCCTTATAAATTTCAGCAGCCTTCTTATGGGTCTGTGATACAAAGTGACACTGAATGAGGATGGAATTTAACCACTGACTAAATAAATACTTATTTACAGTCATAATTTTATGAATACCCTTTTCACAAATGTGCTTAAACCATATTAATGAAAAGTAGAATGGATGATAAACATGGCCAAGATTTCCACCTTGACATCAATGAGTCCATGAACCAATGTCCAAAGTGTGTCTGCTGTCAATGTCTTTCTCTCCAACAGAGAGGATAACTGCACTGTCTCGTATTGAGCAATAAAATATAGGAAGACAATGGACTGTTGCTTTAACCCACCAAGAGCACTTAGGGCTGTCATCAGTTTGACTATCACAGATTATCTAAATTTACGACAGATATAAACAGGAAGACCTGAATTAAATGTTTAAATCTGTGCCTCTCTATCATTTGGCCTCCTTTATCTTTCCCATTAGAACCGTTGTTGCTCTAACAATCTTAACTAATTCTGAGGAAATGTCAGTAGAAGATTAATGTATGAATCCCTGTAGGGACAGCTGATGTGAAGCCATTCCTTTTATGAAACTCTTTCTCTTCCTTTAGAATGTGTCATTACCACTGTTTTGGACTGACCTTCAAAATGCTCAGTAAACAACGTAATTTGATCTCAAATGACACCAAAGTGAAATCTATGAAGAACACTATTTTTGAAAATTTTAATTGCAACATAATATTATTTGAACAGAATTTGAGTTTGAACAGGAGATGCCTGTACTCCAAGGAGTCAAAATCAATATGAATTTATTTTGCTTTTATCTGATGATAAAAATATAAGATCTCTTCTCTCTTTTGCCTCATCCACTCACCTCTTTCTCACGTTGACTTTGTTCTGTGCTTTTGCACATATTTTCCAGGGATATAAGGCAGGAACCGTGTGGAAGATGTCTACTGACAGCCCTGTGTGTTCATTCCTAGGGTGATACTGGAAGGCTGATGTGCACACTTGAGCTTGGTCAAGCAGCATTCTAGCATCCGGTGGTAAAGATGGAGGAGTGAGGCAGGAAATTGCTTTCTATTGAATTCCTGCGCAGAAGGTACTGTAGGGCACTACAAGCTAGTACTAAAATTATATCTTTTGTGTGTGTACAATAACTGTAAGGGTACATTCAAAAGACCTGAAACATCTGTTCTTTTTGCTTTCCTTTTCCTACCTACAATGAATCCTTTCAACCCTGTCTGGCTTATCCCACCTTCCTTTATCACAAGGTTAACAGAACTCTACATCAAGTAGACATTCAAGTATAGGAAGGATTCATGAACATAAATCTCTGAATGAGCATATATGCTTAGAAACAAAGAGAAAGTTCTGAGTTATGAGATAAATGATAACAAATTCTATTACAAAGATAAATATGTGTATCCACACATAGGTATGATAGAACAGTTAGAGGAAGAAAATAAAAGTTAAGAGCTGCTTTAGTAGATTTTTTGGGGAGCATAATTAAGGCAGAGCTCATTGAAATTCCACCACTGTAGCTTCTCACTTATTTTTGTCACCAAAGGCATACGAACTTATGCTAATTGTATGGTGGTTTTATAAGTATTGAGCAAGATTTTTCTAGAAAAATACTGATTTTATTCTAAATGAGACAATATTGAAGACTACATTAACTCTTTCATGACACTAAAGAGCCAGAGGCTTTTGAGTTTTCAGATCACAGAGCCATTGCTTCCATAATAAACTTTTTTGTTTCTAGAACCCTTTAGACATTTTCAACTTACTTCTCGAGAAGCAAAATTTACTAATTTACTTCTTGAGAAGCTTTTAGTCATTTGGAATATCTAACTCAGTAACAAAGGTCAGTTTGCATAACTGGGACACCTTGCTGCCACTTCATTTCTAATTATTTAGGACAGACATTGAGTTCTTTGCCCCACCAGCCTCAAAGGATTAGGTGAACATCTATGAGAATTTCCTCATTTCCTTTTCATAGCCATTTCCTTTTAAAACTTTTGTTACAGACTAATCTTTGATGAAACTGTTACTCAGTAGCTAATAAATGCCACAAATATTGGTAAATCCAAAAATAGAACTTTGCATTGATTTACCAGTTATTCATTAATTGACAACTGAGGTGCACTATTAACAGCCTGGAGTGGTTTTGCATAAAATTGTAAGGACAATGCAGCAGGTCTAAAAGGTCAGAATTCTGTACTCAGCAAAGAAGCCCACCCTCTGGTCAACATTATGGCAAGATTTTAGATTAAAAGAGGTTTTCCCCAATATCCTTTGAATGGTGGTCATCCTAACCTTCCCTTCCATACAGGTTGCCTTTTTTATAAATGGAAAACAAGGTGATTCCATTCTATTTTTTTGTAATTTTCTCCAGAAAGCTTCAAAAATGCATCAATTCTATTAAAAGCTCTGCTTCTGAAAACAGCTGGAGAAAGTTGAATTCTCAAGGACAGAAATCTTGTATCCTGCTACATTTCTGAAATTGGTTATTAATTCTAACAGCATTTCAGTGAAATTCTTTGGGTCTTCTATGTAAGTACTGCACCATGTAATCGGCAAATAATTGACTTCTCTCTTTTCTATACATATCCTTTTTCTTTCTTTCTCTTATCTGATTGCTATGGTTAATGTTTCTAGTATTATGTTGAATAGAAGAGGTAATAATGGAAATCCTTGTCTATTTCTTGATTTGAGAGAGAAAGATTTCAGTTTATTTCCAATTTATTATATTGATGGTTAGTTTGTCATAAATTGCTTTATAACAGACAGGTAAGGGCTTTCTGTACCTATTTTCTTCAGGGTTTTTATCACAAATGAATGTTGGATTTTGTCAAAAGCTTTTCTGTATCTATTGATATGATCATGTGATTTTGTCCTTGCTTCTGTTTATGTGGTATATTACATTTATTAATTTATATATCTTGAAGCAACCTTGCAACCCTGGGATGAAATCTACTTGGTCATGATGTATAATCCTTCTGATGATGTGTTGCATTTTATTTGACAATATCTTGTTGACAATTTTTGCATCTATGTTCATTAAGGAGACTGGCCTGCAGTTTTCTTTTTTGGTTGGATCTCTGTCTGGTTTTGGGATCAGAATGACGCTGGCTTCCAGAAATGAGTTTGGAAACATTCCTTCCCTTTCCATTTCATTGAAGAGTTTGAGAAATATTGGTAATATGACATCCTTAAAGATTTTGCAGAATTCACTGATGAATTCATCAGGTTCTGGGCTTTTTTTAGTCGCTGGGTTTTTTTTTTAAATACTGCCTCAATTTTATTACTTGCTATTGGATTGTTCAAACTTTTCCTGTCTTCTTGGTTTAGTTTTGGTCCATTTCTCCAAGATTTTCAGTTTGTTGAAATACAATTTTTATGGTAGTTACTGTGTTCTGGATTTTGACAGTGTCCATTGTGATATCAGGTTTTTATTTTCATTTCTAATTGCATTGATCTGAAATTTTTCTCATTTCTTTTGGTAAGTTTGACTTAGGGTTCATCTATTTTGTTTGTTCTTTCAAAGAACCAGCTCTTCAATTTGTTGATTCTTTAACACATAAAAATCAATGGCATTCATGTATACCAATAGTGAACTGAGAAAGAAATTATGAAAAAATACCATTCACAATAGCATCAATAAATATTAAACACCTAGGAATTAAACTAAGCAAAAAAGTGAAAGACCTCTACAATGAAAATTACAGTAATATGAAAAAGGAAATTGAAGACTTCAGAAAATAGAAAGACAGGCTGGAGATGTAGCTCAAAGGGACCACTCCTGCCTGGCAAGCTCAAGGTCCTGAGTTCAGTCCCCATACTGCCCCCCAAAAAAAAGAAAAAGGAAAGGAAAGACATCCTCTGTTACTGTATAGGCACAACAAATATTGTCAACATGGCCATATTCCTCAAACTGATTTAAAGATTTAATGCAATCCTAACCACAATACCAGTAGCATTCCTCATGGAGCTAGAGAAAACAATCTGAGAAATATGTAGAACTAGAAGGGATACAGAATAGCAAAAGCAATCCTGGGCAACAAAGGAGGAGGCATCACAATACCTTACTTCAAGTTATACTGCAAAGCAACAGTGATAAAAGACATGGTATTGGCATAAAAACAAACAGGTAGCTGAATGGAACAGAATACAGGATGAAGAAACATCCTAGACACATTTAACTAGCTATTTGGTCTTCAACAAAGGGGCCAAAAATATGTTGGAGGAAAAGTTGCCTTGGAAGCAAATGGTGTGTGAAAACTGGTTATCTATCTGCAGAAGATTGAACTTGGACCTATATCTCTCATTGTGTTCTAAACTTAAATCAGAATAGACCAAAGACCTATACGTTACAACAGAAACAATTAACATACAAGAAAATAAAATAGCTAAAACTCTTAAAGTCATAGGTATAATCAAGAACTTTCTGAACAGAACTCAAATTGCACAGGAAATAACAAGAATCAACAAATGGTATTAAATCAAATTAAAAAGCTTATGCAAACCAGAGGAAATAGTCAACATAGCAAAGAGACAACACAGAGAATGGGAAAAAGTTTTTTTAGCTATTTCTTAGAAAGAGGACTAAGATTCAGAATAGATAAAGCTCTTAATATAATTAGACCACCCTAAATAAAAGGACCCAATAAAAAAATTGAAAGTGAAATGAATAGATATTTCTCAGAAGAAGAACAAATAACCAATAAACACATGACAAAATGTTCAATATCTCTGGGCATTAGAGAATTGTAAATTAAAATAAGACTAATATTCCATTTGCACCAGGAAGAATGCAATCGTCAAGATATTAAATGATAACAAATGCTGGTGTGGCTGTGGTGAAAAAGGTAGCTTCCTACATTGTTAGTTGAAATATGAACTAATAAAACCATTAGAGAAAGCAGTATGGAGATTTTGCAAAGAGTTAAAAATAGAAATTTCATTTGACCCAGCAATTCCCTTTCAAGGTATCATCCCAAAAGAACTAAAGACATCATTTTACAATGATACACACATACCAATGTTTATAGCAGGATAATTCATCAGCTAAATCCTGGAAATAGCCTATATGTCCATCAACAGATGAATGGATAAAGAAAATGTGATATCTATACTTAATGGAATAAACCTGGCTATAAAAAATAACTTTGAGACCTTTGTAGGAAAATGGATACACCTGGAAAAGATAATGTTAAGTGAAATAAATCAGACACAAGTTTAAATACCATATGGTTTCTCTTCATTTGAGTAATGCAAAGTACAAGCAAAGAGCAAAATAATAGATTGATAAAAGGAAACAAGGAGGTAGATGTTTTGCAAGTGGGAAGGAGTTCAAGAGATCCAGGGTGAGGGGTGGGGGAGGGATGGGGATGTAAAATGATTTAAGATGTGCCATGTATATGTACCAGATACAGTAAGTCCCTGGCTTCCTGGTGAGTTCTGTTCTGGGAGTACAATTAGTTTGCAAGTCCAACAAAGTAAGTCTTATACACCTTTAACACAAATATCCAATATGAATTGCTCTGAGCTTCCTATAGTCCCCTCCACATCACCACTGCTTTTGCACATGTTTGAGGAATCCTGGGATCTGACTGAGGACTGTGCTAACAGTACCTATGACACTGTGCAGTAAGCACCCAGCAGCACAACTATGACAATGTCTGGTGGACATATGAGCTACTTGAGTCATTTGTTCCAATCTAAGAATGTTTGTAATTCAAGATTCCTCTGTATTGGTAAAAGTTCGCAACTCCTAAGTCAGGACTTACTGTATCTACATTGAATGTAAATATTATATGTCATAAATATGAAATAAAAATAATATTAATTATAACAGTAATAATGAAAATGAGGAAAGGGGATCTAGAAATGGAAGGTGAAAGGTGGGTTGAGGGAAGAAAATAAAAAAGAATGAAGATAGATTATGTACATGTAGTCCCTAAGATGAAAATAAACTTCATGTACTATAAACATGTACTAATAAAATAAAATTTAAGAAAGAGAGTGAAATCTTTGCAAGGGTCTCTAAAATGAGGAATACAGATCTCCAAAATCTTGTCATATGAATTGAAGGTAGACTAACTCCTTAAAAAGTTTCTAAGAAATTATTTTTAAAAGTTTAAGATGAAATGTTTGATCATTACACCTTGTACATGTATTGAGTTGTAATACAATACCCCAATGAGGTAAATTTGTACAATTAAAATAATATTTAAAAACAAAAAAGAAATTTAAAAATTGTTGACTATAGAAGAGAAAATAAATTTTAGACAATCATTGAACTACATAAATATGCATGGAAATGTTAAGTTACAAAGAGAGGGAAGGTTTTCTTGAAGGCTTTTTCTTGAAGATTGTGCTTATGTACACTTTTAAAGTTGGAAAAGATATGTACTCTTCTTCCCACTTATAAATTCTCCTAAAGGATTGAAGAAACATTTAGCTATAAGCCTAGAGTGAGTACTTACTCTTCCTGATACAACTAGGAAAAGTCCAGAATCATAAGTAAAGACTGTATCGTTCCATAGATTTTCCTGATTTCTAATTCTTGCTGTTTCTTTTTTCCTTTGTACTCTTTTGTCTTTCTCCTTTTTTCTTTTTCTCATATTCTAGTAAATATTCTGCTTTATAGTAGGCATCACACAGTGAGGGCTATCAAATGGCATTCCACTCTCTAAATCTTTTATTCATTTGACAAAGATTATTTCACACATGTGATCTAAACTCTACCCAATAAAGTAAATCACACTCTTTTACAAATCTCTAATTTTCCATGGTTTGTGCTCTCTCCCTTTCCCTTTAAACTAATTTAACATAGTTTATTTCATCAAACAGAAATGTTAAACAATAATTTATATTTAGGTGTGTTTTGTATTTTAAAATTTATAAATGCCTTAATACAATTTTCAACAATAAAGATAAAAGCACAGTATAATTCCATAACACATATACATCTTAAGTACAAAAAATAAATTTAATTTTAATTATAATTGAATAACTATATTCTTTTTGTAGCATTTTTGAAAAACTGATATAACAACACATCTGACTAAATTCCTAGAACTCTTGGATCAGAATAATTGTATTTACCTTAAATTTAGTATTTGTCTTTTATTTGAAAATTCACTTTTTGATAGTTTTGTCTGAATTATACTTTCAATTCTCATATAAATATTTTCATACACTCTTAATCGCTCTGATTAAACTTCAATAGACAGAAAATGCTCTGACTCTTTCTCACTGCTGTGTATCCCAAGAGGCACTAGATTGATTACAAAGCGTTTTTTTCCCTAACTTAAACAGTAGCCTCCTTAAAAAATCATAATTCTGGGCTGGGGATTTAGCTCAGTGGTTCGGCCACCTGCCTCACAAGAGCAAGGTTTCCAAGTTCGATTCCCAGTACCAAAAAAAAAAAAAAAAAAATCATGATCCTGTTTAAGTCTATAAGCAAATTAATAAAAGATGCAATGTGAAAGTGGATTAATTTTTAACCAACTTCAAATTTTCTTAAAATATTTCACTATAACCTTCCT